GTCTATACATCGATCATATGTCACATACCAATGTTTTTCTTCGAGCCAGAACGAAGTACGAAACGATGTAAGATCAATAGGTGATTGTTTAAACATACTTTCTTTGAAGACAAATTTGAATTTGAATATTACTATGGTTTTCAACAATCGAGACCAAGCAATACCATCAATCATATCATATCCCACATAATCAGCAATAATAGTAAAATGAGTCAGTTGTGTCATTGAATGTAGCAAATATTCAATTTCATCGAATGTAATACCATGCACTTTGATAGTTAAATTACGCATAGTATGAGGTGCATGTAGATAAATGGCTGGTATAAATCGATGTGCTTTCGATTGAATATTTAATGTTTTTAATTTCGGTGTTATTTTTAGCAGAGATTTTAGTTCTACTTGAAAACCGTGTAGAGTTAGATGCTCGATCAATGATTTCATTGCTGTCGGACGTAGATCGACAATAAAAGTACGATTATGCAGAGAAAAGATTTCCACAGCAAGACGTTTCAATGTTGCAGAATTGCATAATAGATCATTCAGTAATTTCGATACGATCGATATATCTAAAACATCGTTCAAATTAATTGAATTGATCGATAACGACAAAAGCGAAGGTAATAATGTTAGTCGATCATTGATTAAACGCCATGTTTCAAAATTAATCGGATGTAGAGTTATTGAGTGTAATTTTGATAGTGTACCATTGGTTGTATCTAATTTCGAAAAGAAACGAGTGACCTTGAAATCCATAACAGGATCACATTGATTGAAGAATATTAATGAACGAATTTGAGATGATATATTAGGTAAACGAGCACAAACTAAATCAAATTGTTCTTTTTTTTTAGCAGACAAGGAAAAATCGAAGTGAAAGGAAGGATAAGTGAGACAAATCGTATAAAAATGTTTGTTAACGAAACATAGCGATGTAAGAATATCGGTCATAGTAAGATGATTAAGAATCATGTGGAGCAATTCCACTGGTAATTCACTAAGATCATCCGACATAATATTTTATTTTTAAACAATGAAAAATCTCGTGCTATGTTTGAGAGAGGAGATAATATTAAGGAAATAAAACAATGATCGTCATAATTGTTGCCTAACCCATTTTGCTCAGTCAAAGGTTGACAATATATAACATCACTCGTCGAAAAAAAAAGAATGAGGTGGAAGGGAGAGTGTTGTTTTCATTTTTCGTCTTCACTTAGAGACCTAATTGATTTGAACGATTTCTTAGAGAAGATATTTGATAGAAATACTAGTCAAACTAAGAAATCGATGCCATGTAATAAAGGGGTGTGGATGTGAATGACAAGCTCAGCCACAGCCACACCCAATATAATCTGTTCTATGAAAATATTAATCAAGCTTTGGCGAAAACACGATCCTGTTTGATGAAAGTACGGTCGAGTTAGGACCATAAGATAACATTAGATATCTGGTGTCTGAAGATCCTCACCTTCACAGCGAACAGTGGTGATACTATCTAATGTTATATTGGTTTGATTTATTTCATCATTTGTAAATAAATTCTTCATTGGTTCAATCGATGTCAACGGAGGATTGACGGTTTTATCATTTTTCATTTCACGAGATTGAAACTAGGTGACTATTTTGAAATTTGACTTTACCATTTTTTTATGCCTGGAATACCCTCACGAATCGAAAAAAAATTTTTCTTTAGGATGTGGGTGTGTGGGTGTGGGTCTAGATCTCTTATTCATCCACACCCACACCCACACTCAGCCCCCGCGCGAGCGGGGGGCGGGGTTGAGGGGGTGTGCACCCCCCAAAAATCAAGATTTTTCTGTTTTTCCCAGCAAAAAAAGCAAATTTTGGCTATTTTTTACGTTTTTCTTAGAGATTTCTGTTGAAAATATTCCTCTGCACCCCCCCCCCCAAACTGCCAAACACTCCCCCCCCAAAGTCTGATCCTTCGCGCGGGGCCTGCCCACACTCATAGGCCTTCAAGGGAGTAAGGCAGTAAGGGGATAGGTGATGAGGGGATCAGGTTATGAGGGATGAGGCTATAAGGGGGAGAAGGTTATAGGGAGAAACGCTGCAAGGAAGTAAGGCTGTAAGGGAGTAAGACTATAAGATAGTAAGACTATAAGATAGTAAGACTATAAGAGAGTAAAGCTGTAGGGGAGTAGGATTATAAAGGGTTAAGGCAATAAGAGAGTAAGGGTATAAGAGAATAAGTCTATAAGGGATAAGGCTATAAGGAGCAAGGTAATAAAGGGTGGAGCTACAAGGAGGAAGGCTATAAGGCGGTAAGACTATAAGAGAGTAAAGCTGTAGGGGAGTAGGGCCGTAAGGGGTAAGGTTATATAGGCGTAAGGCAATAACAGAGTAAGGCTATTAAGGGGTCAGGCTATAAGAGGGTAAGACAATAAGGAGGTAAGGCTATACGGAAGGAACGCTATAAGGCTGAGACGTTCTAAGGAGGTTAGACTACAAGGGGTAAGGCTATAAGCACGTAAGGCTACAAGAGCTACAAGAAATATAAGGCTGTAAGGTCGTGAGGCTACATGGGCTATTAGCGATATAAGGGTATTAGACCGTAGGGCTTCTATGCACATAATGTCGAGTGTTTGTGTGTCTGTTACCGAGTGAAAAATTAAAGTTTTGAGGTCGTACACTAAAGAAAAAAATGTCGCCGTGCAGTATACACGGGTTCTCGCTAGTATTTTATATTTGTCTGTATAAATATATAAAAGGTAGGTAGGGTATTGTCCAAATAGTGACGAATTTGTAGTGTGAATGCTGGAAATGACCGATTCACCTTCGTGAAGAATTTCTTCAGCAGAAATAGATAAGAAACGAACTTGTATTGCATTGAATAGATTTAGAAACAGTCCCACTCTTCCTCTTCTGCTATTCTAGATCTACAAATATATCTAAACTATTAGCAGAGACATAAAAATAAAAATGTGACCATTTTAAATTGAATTCAATATGTTCTAGAGAAATTTTGAAAAAAAATGAATTTGTGAAATGATTAACTGTCGCTTCTGCGTATTTTATATGTAAGCTTTCCTAAAGATTTGAACTAAAAATAATACACTGTTTTAATCTTCAAATTCTGTATTTGAACATGACTTTATTAATATGAAAGTACAGTGTACTTCAATTGGTTTTTCTCTTTGATATTTTTTTTTTGTTTTTATTATTATACTTCTTTTATTTATTAACCTACTATATATAGCGCGAAAGTCCAAAACACGCTGCATCTTTTGATATATTTACATTAGACATCAAACGCAATTTAACGCGTACAAAATGTATTAGAAAAAAAAATAACATTTTTTTTTACTATAATACCGAGTGTTCATAATGTTGTAACAGTTTTTATTTCGCGTATATCTCGACTTGAGAAAATAATAGAATATTGAACATTTTTTTAACAAATGTGCTGTTGAAAGCTCTAAAAATCTGTATGAAACAATTCCTATAGCGAATCAGAATAGTTTTCTAAACATGTTCAATATGATGGGAAGTGAAACTGTCATGCAGGTTTTTCATTTTGAGTATAAGAAAAAACATTAAAACAGGTAAAAGGGAATTCAATCTCTACAGTTTTTATAGAGCTTTTCACAATGCATCTTCTGGGAAAAATCCAAGATTTTATCATTCACTTAAGCCAAGATATACGCAAAATAAAAACTCTTACAACATTATGAACACTCGGTATTCTAGTAAAAAAAAAATATTATTTTTTTTTTCCTAATACATTTTTTACACGTTAAATTGCATTTGATGTTTAATTGTAAATGTATCAAAAGATGCAGCGCATTTCAGACTTTCTCGCTATATAAAGTAGGTTAATAAATAAAAGAAGTATAATAATAAAAACAAAAAAAGAATATTAAAGGGAAAAACCAATTGAGGTGCATTGTAATTCAAAGATCCAGTATTCTTTTTAATTGATGATATAATATTGCCGAGATTCTAATGTTACGAAATAACATATATTTGATTAAACTAAGATTAATTGAGTTTGGCTTTCTAAATATTTTTTTTCTGTAATAATTGATAAAGATTGTAAATTTTCAATGAATATGCAATATAAAATGGTTTATTTGAAAATAAAATTCTTGTTTCAGTTGATAAAAGGCGTCAAGTCTCATTGTTGATAACAATATAATTTATGTTACATCTATAAAATCAAATTGTCGACTTGATTCAAAAATACATTTATTTGATGAGAAGTTTTATCTTGAGTAGTGAACATCTAACACTAATAAAACTTGATCAATAACGTTATGAAGGAGATTTAATAATTGATAATTTTTTTTTTTTGAAAAATATGGTGAATGATAAAAAAAATAATGAAGATACTAATAAATTAATTTAAAAATTGAACATTATAGAAGAACATATTTGTGATAAATATTGTATTTTATAATTTTCTAAATATATTCGAGAAAAATAAAAACGATTTGATAAAGAATATATCTAATCATTCGAATAATTGTGATGAAACATTTTAAGATGTTATATGTATTTGTCTTTAACATGGAATGATCAAAATATGAAAAAATTAATAAATCATCATATTTAATCAAAAAGATTTAATTATTACACTTCTATGATTTTCATTTTTTAAGTTTTAGAATATTGATAACAAAAAATTCGTATTCACATTTTGTAGCATTACATAGAATAGTTAATTGCAATAAAAGATGAATATTTATATTACTTTTCATCATATGAATTAAGTTAAATAATATCTGAATCAATATTTTATCATAATTATTTTCCATCTAAAATATTACGAAACATTTTGATAAATCATTCATTACTAACATTATTTAAACATGAATGGTTACTATTATCTCTAAAATTATATAGTGAGATATTTCAAATGTATATATTGTAAATGAATTATCTAAAGCATTAGATATTGATCAATCAATTCTTAATCGCGAATTGATTCATAAAAGAGTAGCCACTGTCATGTATAGAAAATATCATTTAAAGAAGAAACAACTAACAAAAAAAAGTATGTGAAAAATTATCTTCTTTTTATTAATTTAAATTACCAAGACAATATTGATTATCTTACATCTGAAAACTACAAATTCAGATAGTCTCTGTCGTTCAAACTGCTACGAATAGATACATAAGACGTCACTCTTACTAAGGATATTACGAAATTGAGACTATTTGAATATCTGAAAAAAAGTCTTAAATTATTTAATCTGACAGATATACAAATTGTGATTTAATTGTAGATAAATGATATTTATCCATTATTAATTTGAACTGCTTATGATGAAAACGATTCATTTTTCTAATTATTGTAAATATGAAATGTATTTATTTAATTAATAATAAATAAAATAACTTTGAAGTTTAATTAAATGTCAATGCTCATACTTAATTGTCATCAAATTGAATAAAGATAAAAATAGGAATATAATCTCACAATTAACCTATATTTATGTTAATTGTGACTGAGATTTTTCTATATTTTGACGTGCCTTATTATAATCACGCACAGAAATTTCTATATAAACTCTAATAGATCATTAATGATGTCTGCAATTGAAATACAAAATGTCTTCGGATGCTGACACTATTGTTTATTTATTAAATGTTGCAACTCTTTTATATAAAACTTTTGGTTTATTTATAATTGTTGTTAGTACAATTGGTAATATATGTAATTGTTTTGTTTTTCTATGTATTCGATCTTTAAATAAACATCCAAATGCATTATTTGTCATTGGTTCATCAATAGGTAGTTTATTATATATAAATATTGGTTTATTTTCACCTATAATATCAGTTTTCAGTCAATTTAATCCAATAAATCGATGGTTATTTTGGTGTAAAATAAGTGCTTGGTTATATTATTCTGCTGGTTGTTTTAGTTATATATGTATTTGTTTTTCTGCTCTTGATCAATTTCTTTTAACTTTACCAAAAATAAAATGGCAACGATTAATAACACGTATTCGAGCTCAATTCATGATTTTATTTACAGCAATTATTTGGCTTATAATTTTTTTACCATTATTAATATTTGCTAATCATATTCAAACATCAGCAACAACATTTACTTGTACAATTTCTGTTCCTATAATTAGTGTTTATAGTACTTATTGGATTATAATTGGTTATTATTTTTTACCAATTATTTTAATATTAATATTATTTTGTTTAACTCGGTACAATTTAAAACAATTTTTAAGACGTCGTCGTAATTTAGAAAGTGCAATGGTTCGTGTGATGCTTATTCAAATGAGTGTTATACTTATTAGTGGAATACCAACAAGTATCTGTATTATTTATTCATTAGCTACAAAATATTCTACTAAAACATATCTAAGCTCAGTATATGAATCTGTTATTTTTCTTGCTTTTGTTTTATTTACGTTTTTTACAAATGGAATTTCTTTTTGGGTTTATTTATTTGCATCTAAAATGTTCAGAAAACATATTAAAGATTCTATTTCAAAATTAAAATTATTCAAAAATCGACTAACAATATTTTCTACATCATCAACAACAAGAATAAACGTACTTCACTAACTTTTATTGAAAACCTTTTTTGTTTTTTTGCTATCCAGCATTTCTC